CTTCTCTAAAAAACCCTACTCTCCCTCTTCCTTTTCTTTCAGTGTCGTTGTTTGCCTTCATCACTCTCCATGTTCCCTCTCTCTCTCATCGTAATTGTACACGATAAATCTAAGTATATCAAGGATTTACCGAGTTAGAATTACTTGAAAAAAAAACAGTACAAATTATAATGGTAAAAATCCTTTGGATATACACGTTAAATCCAGAATTTATCAAGTTAATATCACTTTTTAAAGAACTGTTTCTAATGGTAAATATTAGATACACACAGTAAATCCAGATATATTCAGGATTTATTAAGTTAGCATGTACAAACTTTAATGGTAAATCTTAAATTTACCAAGTTAACATCATTTTTTTAAGAATCGTACAAATTCTAATAGTAAATCCTGAGTATACACGGTAAATATAAGTACATCCAGGATTTACCAAGTTAACATGTCCAAACTATAATTGTAAATTTTAGATAACCTATCAGCCAAACAACTTTAGTAATAGAAGTACTAAAAATTCTATAGCCATGTTTGGAATTGATCATATTTTTATTTTTCACGTTTTTTGAGAAACAAAATATTTTTAAAACGGCGTTTGGCGTAATAAAGATAAAAAACAGAAATGAAAACGATTTTTTAATTTAGTGTAAAATGAGAGAGAAATGAAAAATGACTTTTAGTCGTTTTTCATTTTTTATTTTCGTTTTCTCCTCTCTCGAGCAAAGAGAGAGAGAAAGAGAGACATTAATGAGTTTTTTTACACTGAAAATAATTTCTTGATAAAACTATCAAACGCATTTTTAAAAATAATTTATGTCTGAGATTAAAAAAATAATTTTAAAACGAGTTCTAAACGCGTCCCGTGATTCGTCCCCAAATATGTCGTTGGTCGAAGATGGGCTTTTCAGTGAAATGAGATATTACTAAAACGACGTTTTGATCGTTTCTATGTCGTTTCTGCATTAGCAAGGCAATCTCTTGTTACGTGTAGTCCATAATGTCTAATTCATAAATAAGTTGCTGAAACCACCCTTTTACCATCCAACAGCTTCTTGTCGTTGAGAAATGAGTGTCGTTTATGCTTTTGTTCAATAAGTCTGATATCCCTCGATTCCCATCTCAGTCTTTTTTTTTTTCGTAGGTAGAGATTTAAACTTAATTCCATGCCGTTTATATTCTAAAACATTATTGTCGTTTGAGAGTAAAAAGTCATTTTATCCTACTTATTGTCGTTTATTGAGAGCGTGTCGTTTGGTTTAACAGCCGCTTGTTGTACATCTGTAGAAACATGTTCTTCTTTTTCGCCCAAACACCATGTAGTTTGCCACTCATTTTTGGACTATAAGGCACGTCGTTCGGTTAGTAATTACTAATAATATGCCATGCTCACTTGTAAACTAAGCAAAATATTTACTCTTTTTTTGTTTTAAGAAAAAAGATAAATGGTTGAACATTTGTTAGAGGAAAAAAAGGGGCCTGTTTCCTCTCCTTATAGAACGACAGGAAAAACTATCACATGCTAAACAAGCAAGCAAAACAATATAACCAGCTTGTTCAAAGAATGTGATAAATCATGGAAGATTTGGATAAGTGATTGCTGCTAAACTTAAATGGAAAGCAATATCAGCTACGCGAGATTGCTTCTTAATCATTCTTTCACACCAGCTTTCTGCTTCAACATGGAAATGAAATTCTCTTTTTCTTCTGGAGACATTCCCTCCGCCGAGCAATCTCCAACTCCCCATTCCGCACCACGTATGCAGTACTTGTCCTGAACTTCTTGGCGATTCCTGAAATGTTTCAGTTTTCATTATGTTAATGGCATCATAGATTAGGAGAATTCTGCGGCAGCGACAAAAAAAAAAAAAAAAAAAATACTAGTAAGGCACAGGCAGCAAGTTTTTTTAAGTTTTCATGCTTTTTCTAATATGATACTACTCTCGTGAGTTGCAAAAACTATGTTCTACCGTAACGCGGAATTCTCCAATAAATTAAGCCCACGCAATAAAGTTGACCCCATAAACTTCTTATAGGTCTGCATATATGTGAGGTAGAGGGAGATTTCTACTATGTTTCCCACTTTTCTTCTACTTCATATTATATTCTTTGTTTTACAATCAGGTGAATGAAAGCTATTATATATGGGTGGCTCCTGCTAGTTCAAAGGTAAGTCGACACTATATTAGCAAGTTTAACAAGTGGACTAGTGATGAGAATTAGCAAATGCCAGCCAACTATATCATCAAACTAACTAAATGACAATTTTACTGCTAAGAAAAAAGCTCCTTTGATTAACACAATGGAGAATTTACTTTTCTAAATTCAATTTGGATCGCTCTAGTAGCTTCTTGAGCAGGGGAGATTCTCTGAATCTTGCATCATTTTCTGCGTACTTTTTCTGGTTTTCTTCTGCAAAACAAAGCAAGTAGCAACACAGATTTATCTCTCTTCATTTCCTTTTTATATCACAAATCATGAAGTCATCATCACAAGGGGAAAAAAGAAAAAAGGAAATTAGAACCATACCATTGAGGCGATTAAGAAAGTCAATTTGAGGCAACTCAGGACCAGGAACAGATTCTATCCCGGAAAATCCGGAAAGAAATCCAGCTTTAGCTGCAAAACCAACAAACATACACCCCTGCTTATTAAACATACTTTTAGAATTGAATTTTGTCATAAACAAGTTAGAATTTGATTACCCAAAAAGCAAATGAAGGAACGTGGGTAGAGTGTAGACTAGTTTCAAACAAACCCATCACGTACTTAACTCGGTAATTGATGGTTTATTCTACTTTTTATTGATAAACCATCACATAAATACTATTTCCGCGGTCATAACTCATCAAAATTTCAAAATTTTCTTTTGATCAAGCAGGATAACTCACGAAATCATCAGCACAGAAGAAGCACAAAGTGTCCATCTTTAAATTTGAATTCTGGTTTTCTTATAGCATATGAAATGAAAATTGAAGAAAAAAAATATTTACGAAGAAGAGCTAAATTTTGGACCTTTGGATTTACCTGGATATGAGGAGAGAAGAATGAGAGCTGAAGCGGCCAAAGGAAGGGACTTGTGAAGAACCGATAAGCAAGAAGATGGCAATGAAGAAGAAGAAAAAGAAAGTGTTGGTATTTTAGAGCTCTTAATTTGGAAAGACTTTAATGGGATACTGGGTTTTGCAAAGAGGACTAAATTGTTGGAAGCTAAGTGAAGAGAAGGATGAGAGACAGCCAAGACTGAAGAGGAACCCATGCTCCTCCCCCACACTTCTTCCTCGGTCCAATTTTTAGTAAAGGATAATCTAGCCACTTTTTTTTCTCCCCTTTTTCTTTATACAGAAAATATATAAACAAATGATAAATATTGGTTTTTATCATTTTGATACTTGCATTTTAACGAAACACCAAGTTGATATCTTATTATTTGAAATATATATATATTATTATATATAGTAAAAGAGATTGAGATTCACTATTCACACACTCACAATTCACTATTCATTATCTGAAATTCCATTTATGTCTCTTATTCTTTGGGTGTGAATTGTCAATTTTACTATTTTTTCTTTTCTTTTCCCTTCTCTGCGCATGTGCTTTTACATCTTTTACTTTAGGATTGTCACGTATTGACGCCCGACTGGCCGAAGAAAAAAGTAGCAGGGCTCACCACTGCGAAGCTGCCCTCTTCCCCTCGTCGAACTCGCTTCTCTTGCACTTTTCACGTATGAATCATAACCATCGAAATTTTTGATTGGACAGTTTTAAACCATTTTCAGTTTATTTTTTAGATTTTTATTCTTTATTATAGTTATTTATTTTAAATCGATTAGAAGTTCAATATTATCTATTTTATCAACGTTTTGTGCCAAGTTTTTTATATTACTTAAATAAAAATGTCATAAATAATACAATAAAATTAAATATAAATACGCTAAATTAAAATCAAATAACACCAAATTAAATAAGCAAAATAAACAAAATAAAATAGAATTAATTTAAAACACAACGAAATAAGTTAGATTATTTTTCCTCTCTCTTTGCTTAAGATTTTCTCCATTTATTATTTTCATTTCTTTTATGTCGTCTTTTTTACTTCTTTTTTTTTAAAAACAATTTGTGTTAGCCGTTATTTTAAATTAATCATGTATACATAGTGCGCGTTTGATGCTAAAACTAAACAAAGACTAAAAAAGAAAAACATTGAAAAAGAAAGGTATTGATTTGTGGTATGATATTATCGATGTCAATATCATTTTGCGCTAAATTTTCAAAGCCTCTCAAATGATAATAGCACAAATAATTTGAATGAAAGATAAAATTAAATAAAAATACACTAAAATAAAATAAAGTCGCACCTTTTTAAAAAATTAAACTATAAAATTACTTTAATGGTTGGAAGAACAACACAAGCATTGATCAAAAAACCATGCTCTACATTAACAAATGATGAACATTAATAATTGGTGAAGGCTTTACTGATCCATTTGTAATTCTACCAATCATTGCTCAGTTAAAATGACAAACCAAAATATTGCAAGTTTATTTTCAACAAATGCGAGCAAAAATAATTACAGTTATTTCAAAAATATTTGAAGATGTCTATCTTTTAATACCACTACCACAAATATCAACAACCACAACAATAGGTCTAAAAACACTAGATCCAAAAAGATTGACTACAAGGTAAGACATATTTACTAATTTATATCAATTATCAATAAAAATCAACATTTACTATTTTGAATACATATATTAACAATATTTAATTAATTCAGTTCTGAACTAAAGGCAACAGACCCACTCAGAAACGCCTAAAGACTAGGTAATATAACTACTTTTAAATTCTTTGAAGTACTTCATTAATTAAAGATTTTCAACTTCTTTAATTATTATTATTATTATTAATTTTTTTAAAATTTGTATTTTGTACTTAAAAAGAATAAAAAAAAGGAAACACAAGCTGTAACACATTCTAAGAAACTTTTAACTCTATATATATGTACATATGTTTTATTGTATTATTTCACAGCAACGCGCTGATTTTTAGCTAGTATATATCTATATATAGTATACTAAAAGGTAACTAAGCGGTTTTTCTAGCTGCAAAATGTTCATGTTGCCTTAAAAATTTATTTATTTTCAAATTAATTACACAAAAACATTAAGAAAAAAACAAAATAAAATATTGAAGAAATTTCCTTAAAAAAACTCTCTTTTTTAAGAATATTGATGTTTTCTACTTATTAGTCATCAGATTTATATTAAATTTAGTCAAAAATTAAATTAAATTAAAAAAATAATACAAATCTGACAGCTGCTAAGTAAGAAACACTAGTGTTTCCAAAAGTACAGAGAACACCATAAAAATTCGCTCAATTAAAATAGACATTTTACAATTCAAAAAATATAGAGGCTAAAAAATGTTATTTTTAGAAATAGTAAGTAACCTTCTTAATATTATGAGTACCAGTGCCATATTCGTTAAACTAAAAACCGAAATGACAAAACCCTAATGATTTACAAAAAAAAAAAAAAAAAAAAAAAAAAAAACAAATTTTCAACAATTTTGTTCCTCTAAAAAAAAATCCGCAATTTGTTTGGTGGGTTTTAGCACAGCTCGTTGCAAAGACCAAAATTCTGTCTATACCACTGCACATCCAAAAACTAATAATAGTAGAGAAAATTACGTGGCATGCCATTTTTAATACGTTCTAATTGAGAAATTTTGAAGAATGTTTTGGTTTATTACTCTCTCTCTCTCTCTCTCTCTCTCTTCCATCTGTGTTTCACAGAAATCACAACAGAAAGAGCTGTGAGTGAAATCTTGAAATCTCAAATTTGCCAAATTTTTGTTGCTTGTTATTTGTTAAAAGCTTAGAGCCACAACTAAGCTCCCCACCTCCATTGTAACAAAAGGGAAAACAAATATTTGCTTCACTGAAACATATTTCTATTCCTTGTTTTCTTTTGGTCAGGACTTAGACACCTTTTTCTAGAATTCAGAACATGAGATTCTGCACCACGCACAACATAATTCTTTATCAAAGAACCTTTCAGAGCCTTAATCTCAAATCTAACGACTCCCAAGTTTCATCCTTCAAGCATGGCCTTGGCAGCATCTACCAATATTGGTCTAAAGTCGTTGGAAGCTCGACCAAGTACTGTGTATCCTTCCTTGTCTTCCACATCTACATCTGCTCCATGCCTTATTAGAAGAAGAGATACCTGTCAAGAAAACACAAATACACAGTTAGACATCGCAAGTTATTGATTTTCACTAATAGTTCTGAAGAGAACATTAATAAGTAACAAATAAACACGTCGGTACTTCCAACAACGAAAAGATGATAACACAAAGCCAAGAAGAAAATGCAAAGTTCATTTGACTTTCAAGAATTACTAGCAAAGATTATTTAGTCAAAGGAGAACAGAATAGAGAATAAAACTAATATTTACAATCTTCCTCAGCATATTCAAAAACAACAAACTCAAGAATATATAACAGGCGATAAGCATCTCTTTCCTTAGAACTTTAACAAATACTACCTCTTTGTTATAACAAATCACTGCATTCATAAGAGGAGTCTGGCCAGCTTTGTCAACAGCGTCAACATCAGCTCCTTCTTCAATTAGGAGCTCACACAACTCCGAGTTGCCAGTGCTTGCTGCCCGGTGTAATGGGGTGCAACCCACCTGATTGATTACATGTCATATAACGAATGTCAGAACTCGAATAATGATGAAGAAAATATGTGGGAACATTAAAACACGTTATCAGCATATAAAATGCTCTAAAAATGGTTTTAGAAAGTAAAGATGACAGATCCAGCTATTTGAAGTTACAAGCCTTGTCCTTCAGATTAATCTTTGCCCTATGTGAGATCAGAATTTCAGCTATCTTCAACCATCCCTTGCTGGCAGCATAATGAAGAGCGGTACGACCACCATCATTCTTCAAATTAACATCAGCTCCTGTCAAATAGAGAAAGGGTAAAAGGGATTGGCATATCAAAATCTTGGCCGTGTTTAGAATTGATCCCGTTTTTGTTTTTTACGTTTTTCGAGAAAGAAAAAATGAAAACGTTTCCAAAACGGCATTTGGCGCAATAAAGACAAAAAACGGAAATGAAAACAATTTTTTGGTTTAGTGTAAAATGAGAGAGAAATGAAAAACGATTTTTAGTCATTTTTCATTTTTTGTTTTCGTTTTCTCCTCTCTCGAGCACAAAGAGAGATATATATATATATATATATTAATGGGTTCTTTTATACTGAAAATAATTTCTAAATAAAACTACCAAACGCATTTTCAAAAATGATTTTTATTTGAGATTGAAAACGTTTTCATTTTCATTTTCATATAAAAAACAAAATCATTTTGGAACGAGTTCCAAATGCGCCCTTTGTTAGTTTGTTACCAAATGATATTTCCATCATCAACTCATTCTACATCTCTAACCCACGCATCATGAAACACTTAAAAATGAGCATATTCAACAAGTAACACGATAGTGGGCATATGTTGAAACTCAACTTCCATCGACACTCGTCACGTTTGTGAACTCCATAGCATACTACTCTTTAATCCATAGACCAGCATTCCTCTTCTAATGGATGAGTATTTACTTGCCAAAGAGGGCATCAACAAGGTCAATGGCGCAATAATGCGGTCAGATTTTCAATTCACAAAGCATTCCAAAAATGAATTATTGACATGATCAAAGATAATGGATTAATTTTTTTTAAAAAAAAAACTGGCTATTCTTTTCGTTTTTTGTTTTTCCTTTGTGTCTCCTAATTCTTTTTCTGCTTTCACTTCTTTTTTTTTTATTGTGAAACTAAGATGTAATCATCATTCATGAACTTATCAAAATGCAGCAAAACACACAATAACACCACATAAAAGCATGGGAATTTGGAAATTTCTAACCTTTACTAAGCAAAATGTCAACAATTTCAGAGTTCCCAATGCTCGCAGCAGAATGAAGCGGGGCCCATCCCTCTTCATCTGCACTGTTCACCACACTCGATGCTTCATCAGAAGCTGCCAACACCTTCACCACCTATTAACAGAAAAATACAACAAAACATGATTATTTAATTAAAAAACAATAATTTCCAAGCTAAACGCAAAATTCTTAAAATTCCGAAGTAAATACAGACCTAGAAATCGGAACATCGATAACCATAGCCTTAAAAAACAACACATGACGCGAAATTTTCCCACGTTTTACCGCATTTTCCGAGCAAGCAAACAGGAAAACAGTAAAAGATGGGAGGAGGAGACGGACCTCGAGTTGACCGGAAGAGGCGGCGACGTGTAGGAGGGAGCGACCGTCCTCATTCCTTAGAGAGAGAGATTTCGAGAGCTCTTCTTTAGAAAGAGATGTGAAAGCCGAGGAATCGCCGGTTTCCGCCGCTTTGAAGAGGTCTTGGGGTTTGAAATCGCGATTTGGTCGCCGGGGAGGATCGATCTCCATTTCCATGGTCTAGGCCGGTAGGGTTTGGGCTTTTGCGGGGTTTTGGCTGTCGTATTGTCGTTCGTCGGAACTGAGAGCGCTTCAACGCGAGAACTAGACTGAGAACGCACTCGTGTCCAATTCGTTCGGTTGCTACGTGGAGTGGAATATTAAGGTAGCGTTTAATACGAGAATTTGTGCTGCGATTTGAATTATAATTAGTGATTCGTTATTGTATTATTTTTTTAAAATACACATAAATTATAAATAATTTTAAATTCGTGAATCAAACATTATTTTCCATGTAGAGTTCCTAAATTAAATTGTATTCTATCCATTATTTAAAATTAATACTCTTCTTGAAATCTGAATGTAGAAAATACGTAAATAAATAAATAAATAAATAAATATAAAAGACCAGTCCTATTATACCCTCTCCCCTTAAAAAAAGAAAGTTCGATCACTTGACTTAGACGAGGGTTTATCCGGTAGGATCAAAAAAAATAAATTATTAATAATTTTTTATTTTTAATTATGAGATTTATATAAAAAATTATTTATTTTATATATTTTTTTAATATGATATAATTTTTATTAAATCTAACGGTTAAAAATTGACCCCACCCTCCCCACTTCAATATGTTAACTTGTTATAGAGTAAATAGTATAAAATCTAAATCTAAATTTTCTGACAAAAGAGAAAATCTAACTCGGGCAACATAACGTAGAGGTTGGAATACAATGAAGAAAAGTTTCAAGAGAAACTAGACGAAAGAAAATGATGTTAATTACTTTTCCAAGCAAAATGACCTGTTATCAGGATTGGATAGAAAGCTTCAACTTCTCAGGGCAAAATAGCTGAATAAACAATCAGTGTGAGAGAGATGATTCACAAAAAATGGTAAAGATGAGGCAATGGGCATCTGTAGAAAGGATGCCCCAAAGGGGTGACCTGAGAACACAAGGTACATTAGCCATGGGCCCATGCATATATTTATACCGGCTTAATTCAACAAATATGTAGCAGCAATGGCAATTGGCAAACCTGCCTTGTGTTCTCAGGGGTCACGCCTCTGGGGTGTACCATTCTCCCATTTGAGCGAACTACGATTAACAATTCTCGAACAAAGAAGAGAAAGACATTACTTTGCTTGCAACAATTGCAAGGCTCATTACTTCTATTTTAATTCACATCATATCATACTTTAAAGGGTTTGACAAGTCATTGTGGTCACTATGTTGTCATTCTTGCAACACCAAATAAGAATGTCGTCATCTATTGTACACTTTTTGTGGGGCTTTGTTTTTTTTGGAAGATTTCGACTCCAAAACTGCACTGTGCAAGAGGTGGATCAAATGCTTTAGCACTTGTTTAAGAAAGCATGCATCAAATTATGCACTAATTGACAGAGGTTGAGCCCATTAAATCCATTTTTGTCTTCCAACTTCTGGCGCATAACTTCTAGTTTGTCATTTGCTACCATCAATATGTCACATACGAATGCTTGTCGAGGTAGAGAAATCGAACTGTAACCATTAATGATTTGTCTTTTTTCTTTCAAAATAAAAATATGAAGAGAAGTGACAAACTGTAACTATATTTCTAGTCCATCCTCACACATTACAAATGTCTATATTGAGCTATAAGTGCTTACGTAAGAAGACAAATCGCATCATCTTTAACTCTTTTAAGAGTTGGTGAATATTGAGCTGATAGTCTGAAAATACTCTCAAATACCACTTGACTTGACTATCACATATAATTCATGATGTCATTATGTCATTTGCTACATGGAATTTGTTATGCAAGATATATAATATTACCTACTACGAATTTCTTGAATTCTACTCGTTATTTCCTACAAACAATTTGTCGTGCACTACATACATCACAAGTTTTCTGAATCTGCTTCGAGACAGAGGAGTTCCATTTCCATAGCAATTGCAATTGCCACAAGCAAAAGCAGTTTGTCACAGAAGACGAGAAATCGAGTCCGTGGGCCATGGCCTTTACCATTAGGATTATGGGCTTATGAACGATAAGCCCGGTCCACCATCCAATTCATTATTATTATTATTATTATTATTATTATTATTATTATTATTTCAGACAAGGGAATCACTGTAGGCTTGTTGTGACATGTGAGTCATTAATTGGCCTTATCCCAAAGTCATGAGAGGAAAAACAAATGAAGAGAAGGGACGACTCAGCAAAGAGACAGCAGTAATGAGCACAATAAAATATCAAGCGCAGTTGTCGGCAGAACCAATTAGCGACATGAATAAAGTGTGATGTGGGACCTTTTGAGCTTAAAGAAAAATAATAAAAGTGTGTGGTGGACGCAAACGCACGATCAAAAATATCCACGCCCGAAATGAACACGCAAGCAACACTGATCAATAATCATGAAAGGGAAGCTGATCTTTGATCCATTCATTCCTCAATTCTACGCGGAGATATGATGAAAATAATTGATAGGCTGTTGGGGTGGTTCAACTTTTTAACCGACAAATCCCATCTATAAACGCTCTATTCTACTCATACACCCTATATTATTAGTATTTACATATTAATCTTAAATTTTTAATTTTTAACGTTCAAGACCTTATATTTTACAATCTTTGACAATATAGTCTAATAAAAAGGGTGGCAATTGTGGCTCGAAATGCTAAAATTTTTAAAGTTAAGGATCAATCTTATCCATCAACAAAAAGTTGGATCGTATAAATTGACATTTTCTACTTATTGGACTATATGGATATAAAAATCAAAAGTTTAATATCCAAATTGCAAATGACGGATAGGTTTTGGGGTCCACCAGTGCAATCAACCCTCATCTATAACTATCACCTAACCAACCACACAAAAGTCATATCCATACCCCAACCGTTTCCAAAACCAATAAGAAAAATCCTCTAATTTTGTACCATGGATCTACTCAAGTCTCTGGCAGGCGGTCACGGCGACAAACCCGCGGGTGAGGATAACAAACCCGGCAACCACGGCCACCGCCAGAAATCGTCGACGACGGAGCTTCTTTCGAGCGCCAAGGAGGTGGCGGATGCCGCCAAGTTTGCCGCCAGCAACCAGTCCGACAAGATAGATAAGGGCAAGGCTGCGGGGGCGGGGGCAGACCTTCTCGACGCGGCGGCGCAGTACGGGAAGCTGGGGGAGAAGGGCGTCGGCGAGTACGTGCACAAGGCTGGGGACTACCTCCACCAGTACGAGGCCAAGAACACTGCTGCTGGTGGTGGTGGTGGTCATGATCATGCAAAGCCGTCTGATGATCATCATCATGGTGATGATCAGAAGAAGAGTGATTCGGAAGGTGGGTTCGGGGACTACTTCAAGGCGGCCCAGGGATTCTTGAAGAAGTGATCATCATGATTTTGTTTAATCGTACTCTTGCTTATTAATTAGCTTTGTACGTAGTTTAATAATGGAAATATTTCTCATGTGTGGTTTCCTTTTGTTCTAATGAATAAGTAAACTCATGTCCCTGTGTTTTCATTGAAATGGAAATATTTCTCATGTGTGGTTTCCTTTTGTTCTAATGAATAAGTAGACTCATGTCCCTGTGTTTTCATTGTAAGTTATGACCGATGTAATGTAATATCTGTGTTTCTGAAAAAAGAAAAAAAAAATTGTAATTTATGTATAAATCATTTTAGTACTGATTAATTATCCTACTTGTTGACTTGGAGGTCGTTTTTTTAATGTGAGAAATGTTGTCGCACCTCAGAAAGTTACAGGTTACAACCAACCAAACCAAGAGTTCTTCAAAATTAACATATGTAACCATACAGTTAAACTAGTTAAGCTTTTCAGCTTGTTCAATGATGTTCTTTCTTTCTTTTCTTTCTTTCTCCTTTCTTCTGGAAATTGTTCAATGTTGAATTTGGTAATTCAATAATTGGCTATCTGGATCTCACTAGCTTCTCTGAAAATAATTTCACTCGTCAAACAAAAAGCAAGGGAAGCTATGAATTTCACCGTTGCAGAATTTTACAGTTGCAATCAATAAAAACCTACATAAAGTGCGCCCTTTAGATATTATTCTCCACTATAAACTTTAATAAAGTGTATGTTCTTTTTTATTATGTAATTTTAGAAAAATGATTTCATTTTTTTATAGTACATATTTTTCTTTGTATGTGCAATAATGTGAACTGAATTTGTAAAAAATAATTTATTTCTAAGAAATAATTATATGTGGTGGTTGAGTTTAGAAGAATCACAGATTTGTCCAAGATATGATGTCTTCGCGACTAGCTCGATTCGCCATGGGTAGCTTGTGGCAACTTCACCATGGCTTGCAACACGGTGACTACAACGATTGCTCATCACGACGGGTCGAAAACCTTGTTGCAATGGCTCTCTTTTGGGAAGAAGGATGATGGGTGGGGGACCATGCCTCCTATTCTACGAGCTGGATTAAATTTGCCTGAGCATTTTGGATTTAATGTTAGCATATTTGCATGTTTTCTTATTTCATTATACCTAAGGGTCATTTTAGCAGTACTGCACTGTTGAAAATTTTTAATGTTACCGTCTTGTTAGTCAAAAGTTATTGTAATTAGAAATATGTAGATGTTTGGTAAATTTTTCTTCAAAGCTGTTGTTTATACCATAAGCAGAAACTTAAGAATTTAGTACACTATGTATACAATTATTGTGGAGATGTATAACGACTAAAATAGACATAATTTAGCATACATATTTATAGTTAGTTTCATTTCTATTTTGAAGGTTAATATTCATAATATTTTTACACCAAAATACTAAAAAAATATACGATTTTAATTTATTATTAAAAATATGTTAAATTTATTATTTATTGCTGAAATTTTTAAACATTATGATAATTATAAAAAATATTTGAGTAAAATTTAACATAGTATATTGATAAAATATATAAAAAATAATTTTTAGTTTGGCATGAAAAAATAAAATGGGTAAACAAAGAATTAAGTTTTATTAATAAGGTTCGTGTAAGAAATTTGAATAATGACAATAGAAGCAACCCTTAACATCTTTCTTAAATTTTATTATTTAGCAATAGTTTTTAAAAGTTGCTGGACAAAAAATAAAATTTACCAAACACTGGAATTTACTGTAGTTTCTTAAAAAAAAAAAAGTTAAAAATAACCTCTAAAAGCAATATTAAACGGCCCTAAATCTAAGAGTAAAAGATCATGAAAACCAAAGGAAACTCATCACACAAGGTCATGTGTATGTTAGTGCACTAGTATGTAATTTCTACAATGTACTAATATATATATATATATATATATATATATTTGCTCAATGTAATGTACTAAACTATATACACCTCCTTTTGTCATTCTTGGAATATGAAATATGAAAAATATCCTTATCGGCCCGCAAGCCCTTTATCCCTCGTCTTATGGGTTTCAATGAAGCATGTCTTACCCGTATGCCTCCACCCACATGCTAAAGCGGGACGGTGTTATCACCCGCCAGTTTTTAAGGTATGAAGGTAGCTTTAGGTTGGGAAAATTTGTGTGAGTTGAACTTGTTCTAATGCATAACTTTTTGCGGAAAAATTTTGTTTTGGTACTCTAATAAAATAGAAATTTAGTATTCTGTGTTTTTGATAATTTTATACCGATACTTTGATGTTTTAAAAAAATAACTTTTTGATATTCTAATACTCTTTTTTGAAATGTGATGGGTCATGTGCGTATTTCCATGAGAAATTTAACAGATGTAAACAAAAAGGTGTTAATTACACCTGTTTAAAAAGGTTAGACGGTGTTTTACCATAATAAAAAAAGAGGGACCAAATTATCACATATTGAAAAGAACAAAATCATCTGTGCCTATTACACTAAATATAAATGAGAAATTATTCAGTAAATCGAGTGTACCATGTTATTTTTCTTATGTTGCCCTTTTTGTTAAATAATCTCTGTGCCAATTACACCAAATAAACTTTTTTTTTTGCCCTTTTTGCTAAATGTGATCTTCATTCACACGTGAAAACAGGGCCTAGGGGCCTTCAACAACACAAACGGACAAGAGCTACAATAAATGAATAGTGAAAAATACTTGTGAAACTGTAGCGACATTTGGTTCATGGATTTAGAACCCTGATTCAAAATTATTTTTATTTTATGTGTGTTTTTTGTGAGAAAAAATATTGTAGTGAGCTACGAACTATGATTCGAATCATGACACAAATCCCCATTCCAAACGTCCTTAAGTAACCAACTCAGACAAGGAGTCAAGCTAAAAGACTCAACAGAAAATCTAAGAAGACTCACAATAAGCTAATTGACAACCAATTAAGCGAACAAAAACAGAAGAGAAAGAATCTACTCTAATAAACAGTAGCAATGTGCATAACAATTCTAAAAGAGTGACCCATTACTTGTAATATTCTAAGTGCATGTGGGTTAAATTGTTTCTAAGCAATTAAAGGTAAGGAAATTGCATTATTAACATAATAAAATCAAATAAAATATGTTGCACATAAAACTTGTTTATTTACAAAAAGTGCTTTGTATTAATTAAAAATGACCACTCATGTAATTTTGTTCAGCTTGCGGGTTGCACTATTATTTTGTTTTGTGATTGGTATATATAACCCAGTGAAATTCAATGTCACCAAAAAATTGATTAGTCTCCAGGTTCATTTGTAACAATATTTTGAATTAGAGTAAAAAATGTAAATAAAAAATATATATAACTAATGGAAAATTTATATATCAGTTCTTCACGATGAGCATGAGAGGATTTTGATCCATGTGAATTGTTATAGCCTTTCTTTGTTAAGCGGTTCTTCGTATTTTGCTTGGATAGTTCCTAAAAGAATGATACAAATTAATCATTGCAAAAAGTAATGTAAAATAAGTAAAAAAAATACCACCAGAACACTTCATGAAAGGTTTGAAACTTACTATTTGTTCCTCAGTACTCTAATAATCACAGAGTCACTCCCAATCTTTGTCATTAATTATATCGTCAAGGGGTAATCTCTTAGCAATTTCTGGTGATATTTCCCCACTAATTTTCCTAAAGTGTTTGAGCAATGAACACCGCCAACTTCTGTGTGAATCCTTCATTTGATCATCTATAGCCTTTTTTATGTCTGGTAACATTGTAAAGTCAAATCTTTCATACAAAATAAAAATGTTAAAAATGTTAGAATTTCATAACTAACTTTGAAGTTTGCAAGGAAGTATTTTAGTATACTTACAAGCATCCCTTCATAAATAGGGGCTTTAACTTTGTCACTTAATTTGTTAAAGGGTACTTCACATCGAACCGATAAATGAGTTCGTGCAAGAAGTCCCAAATCACGTGCCCAAATACCTTGATTGTGGCCAGTTACTCTGAAAGTCACTTCATCAAAATTTATTTTTAACTTTCCATCCTTACGCCTTTTTTGAGTGGTTTTTTCAGTGTACATTCATTTTTTCTTCCCTTTTCGTCATTTCCACCTTGTAAAGATACCATAATGGAAAACCTGTTTCAACAAAGATATTATCAGTCATCAACATAAATCAACCAAATATTCAACCAAACAAGTGAAATCATGAAAATAATAAAAGAAAAGAAAAGAATATCTCGAAAGAATGCAAGACAAATACACTTAACATAATACGAGTGAGCTATAAGCAGAAATACCTATAGCAAGCAAGGTATAGATAAATACTCCTTCCTAAGAAAGCCACACCACAGAGTTGCACCTCTCACAGTCAAGTCAACAAACATTTATTAGAAAAGGCTTGCATCACGTAGTCTCGTTGTTCATATGTGTGTGTGTGTGTCGTTTGTGTATGTATGCCCATTAACTACATATACATACATTGTCTTGCTATAAAACCTAACCCCAAAAGACAGTAAGGGCCCTAAATTCCATATTTCCTACTTGGGATCCGAATATAACAGTTGGAACATCCTAAAACAACGAACACCTAATGTTTTGAGATGAACAAAAGAACAGACATTTCAATAAACACTTAGTACGCATCGTTTGGGATCCAATTATTTAGTCAATATTAATAACCAGAATTCCTCGAATGTGAAAAATAGGCATGAAAAGGCAGATAAATCCAATTGACGAGAAACACTTAAAATAAAACCTACCAGACTTCCTAAAGCCTTTCAATGTTACTCAACACACAAAATAGAAAGAGAGAGAGAAAAAAAAGGAAAAACCAAAAAAATTCAAGCAAAAATATTCAAACAACTAAATATATACCGGATGCGTCATCCTAGCTCGGTGAAAAACGATGGTGAGGACGACGGCAAAGAACCAGTGGGTGCGAAGAAGACGGCGACGGTGTCAAATAACTGGTGGGTGTGAGGAAGAAAGGAAGATAAATTAATTGCAGAGAATGAGTAAGAGAAGGTGGAGAGAGTGAGAGAGAGAGTGGTTCTGAGGGAATTTGACGCAAAAAATATGAAGAGTTGGTTCTATGGCGCTTAAAACTGCGCGCTTAGAGTAATTTGATATATATATATATATATATATATATATATATATAAACTTTTCCTCCTTTTTTTTAAGGAAATAAGCGAAAGAAGAAGCTTTATGGAGGTGGACGCTTATCATCCCGTGAGTTGTAACCGTCCACTGGGAGGGAGACGCTTATCGTCCATTGGAAGCGCCCCACTAAAGAGAAAGAAATATGCACGTAGGTTGAGGAGGTTTGAGGGG